GTTTCTTCCTCATAAAAAGGAACAAACTTTATATTTCGCTATATTTCACAGTAGTACGATTCTTTAAGTGAGAGTATAGATTTAGCAATGTAGTATGCACATTTCAAAGTGAAAAAGGAAATTCTATTGTTAGAGGTATAGTATTTTATCCTGGTGTACATTTATAAAGCTGTCACTTGTAATAATTCAGATCTTTTATAGTTTTATTAACCTTATTAACCTCCTTTTATTTTCTGCGCAAATGGCATATAATTATGCAAATAATTTGGATACAAGTGTATATTGAACTCAATTTATTATTTCTTTTTATAAACTGGTTTATCACCATTTCTCTGACACTTCTTAAATGTATAGCTCACTAAGCATAGAACACATAAGGCAAATATTAATTATTTGGACTTTTAAAAGATTGTAATTTTCTTTTTCTCCTCCGTTTTGGTATTGTTTGAAAGAAATATAAATTTCGATAAAAAAAAGGGGAAGAAAAAAAAAAAAAAAAATTATTACGTATAACTATTTATTATATCTTCAGATTAAAAGAATGCAAACCCCATACAACTATTTAGCTCATTATAAACAGGTACAATATTTTTTTCAAAAAAAAAGAAGTGCACAGCAGTAACAATTGGGTGGGTGGTTAATATCACGTTTTATCAAGGCATATTTTGAGCCTTCAATGAACCACAGTATTTTATGCATAAACGGAAGAATTCAAAAATTGTTCTACAGCATTTACTTTCCATAGAAATAATTTTCTCTTCATTTCTTTGGTATCATATATTACCTGATCTTTTTTGTTTCAAGTAATTCTTTATTTCACTTTCCTTCTTTCTATGCGTGAGTCCCTCTTGAAGCTAAGAAGCAAAAAAAAAAGTTGCAATAAAATACTAAGCCAAGTCCAATAAGGCTGATACATATAAAAAAGGTCCCTCTTCTCTATATGTATATAATGATATTATTCATTATTAACACATTACAAAGTACATTATTTGGCCAACATGTACGTATATTTAAA